GTGTTCCTGAGCTCCAGACAAATTATCGTCACTTGATAGTGATGATGGAACTACATTACCCAGCATGCATAGCACAGTGAGAGCTTGTAATGGTCTGTGCTGATCTCTGGAAGCAGCAACACATGCACACGGGAGGAGCTGTCAATCCAGTTCTTCAGTAGGCAGACATGAGCGAGAGGAGACTTCGTTATACTGGGTCACGCTGTGTACATCTAGACCAAACACCGACACGCAGGATTGTATTACTTTGTGTGAACGGCCCACCCAGGTTAACACCGCTGGCGCTGATAATGCATCGTTGTCACCCAGGGACAGGAAGAGGGGATAGACCTTTGGTATGCAGTAAGCAGACATGAGACTGCATCAGAGGACACCACTGACAGTTTGGTGGAGTGCAGCTAGCAGAGGACATCATTGTAGGCAACAACATTTTATTAAATACAAATCTGCCATTTACATTGACAAGTTATTTTGAGCCGTAGTTGACCTCCTTCTGACCTGCTTCAGTAAGTAGACATGGACTTGTGTATGAGAACACCACCAGCAGTTTGGTGGATTGCAACTACTGAGAGGATATCATGGGAGGCAACAGTTTTACTGAATACAAATTTGGCATTTACGTTGACGTGTTAATTTGAGCCTCAGTTGATCTCCTGACCCGCTTCAGTATGTTTGTGTTTTAATTTAAAAGACCCTTTTACCTTGCCAATGCTCACCCCCCTATCAAGTTCTACTTGCCTTTACAGTGCTGCCTCGCTCCTTCCTCCCATCGTGGTAGCCATTGGCGTAACCTGCTGTGGGTTTCACTATGTAGACATGGATTTGTGTATGAGAACACCACCAGCAGGGTAATGGAGTGCAACTATAAGAGGACATCATGGGAGGCAACCGTTTTATTGAATGGAAGTTTGTCATTTCCCAGTGACATGTTAATTTGAGCCATAGCTGACTTCCTTCTGACCTGCTTCAGTAAGTAGACATTGAAATTTGCGTATGAGAACATCACCAGCAGTGCAGTTAAATGAGAACTATGGGGTCAGTTTTTTCCCCCATAGTTCTCCTTAGGGTAACGGGAGGACAAAAACTAGCGTCCTCCCATCACCCTAAGCTCAGTATACAGCGAGCTACAGCGAGCTACAGCTCGCGGTATACTGAGACGCCGGAGCGGATCCCGACTTAGATGTCGGGATCCGCCCAGCTGCGTGAGTGACAGCTGGCTCTGCCTATCTAGAGGCAGAGCCAGCTGTACCCGCCCCCTCCCCCGTCCGTTCCGCCGGGCAGGCCTGGCAGATCGGAGCGGGGAGAGGGGAATCCAGCCCCTCCCCCTGTCACGGCAGAGAGCCGTGACAGGATCGAGAGGTGAGCGAACCCGGTATGTGTTCGCTCACCTCCCGATCTACTGAGCCGACCTGTGGCAGTCTCATTGTCACAGGTCGGCTTAGAACTATGAGGTGAGTGGAAATCACTCATCTCATAGTTATCCTTTAAAGTAGTAAGAGGACATCATGGTGGGGAACAGTTTTACAGAATAACATTTTGGCATTTACATTGACAGGTTAATATGAGCCGTAGTTGATCTCCTTCTGACCTACTTCGATAAGTAGACCTGGACTTGTGTATGAGAACACCACCAACAGTTTAGTGGAGTGCAACTAATAAGCGGACATCGTGGTAGGCAACAACAGTTTTACTGAATACAAATTTGGCATTTACAATGACCGGTTAATTTGAGCCTCAGTTGACCTCCTGTCCTTCAGTAACTTTGTGTTTTAAATTAAAAATACCCTTTTACCTTGCCAATGCTCACCCCCTACCCAGTTCTACTCGCCTTTTACAGTGCTGCCTTGCTCCTTCCTCCATCGTAGTAGCCATTGGCATAACCTGCTGTGGGTTTCACTATGTAGACATGGACTTCTGTATGAGAACACCACCAACAGTTTGTTGGAGGGCAACTACTAAGAGGACATCATGGTGGGCAACCGTTTTATTGAATGGAAGTTTGCCATTTCCCATTGACATGTTAACTTGAGTCGTAGTTGACCTCCTTCTGACCTGCTTCAGTAAGTAGACATGGACTTGTGTATGAGAACATAGAATGAGTGCTGCCTTGCTCCTTCCTAAATCGTAGTAGCCATTGGCATAACCTGCTGTGGGTTTCACTATGTAGACATGGACTTCTGTATGAGAACACCACCAACAGTTTGGTGGAGGGCAACTACTAAGAGGACATCATTGTAGGGAACAGTTTTACTGAATGAAATTTTGGCATTTACATTGACAGGTTAACTTGAGTCGTAGTTGACCTCCTGACCTGCTTCAGTATGTAGACATGGACTTGTGTATGAGAACACCACCAATGGTTTGGTGGAGTGCAGCTAATTAGAGGACATCATGGTAGACAACAACAGACCCTTTTACCTTGCCAATGCTCACCCCCTACCTAGTTATTCTCACTGTTGACAGTGCTCCCTCACTCCTTCCTCCATAGTAGCCATTGGCGTGACCTGCTGTGGAAATTTGCATATGAGAACATCACCTACAGTTTGGTGGAGGGCAACTACTAAGAGGACATCATGGTCGGCAACTGTTTTTACAAATTTGGCATTTACATAGACCAGTTATTTGAACCTCAGTTGACCTCTTGGCCTGCTTCAGTTGGGTTTTACACTTCCATAGATTTGTATGTGGATGCAAAACCCAAACATGGGACATGCGGTAAGGAGTGCGACAAGGCATCTGTATACTGCAAAACCCATCAGACAAATTTGTGGAAGTCGTAACCGACGACCGTGTGAAGGGTCCTCGCGGGGTCACTGGGAATGTACTTGCAGTACAATGACTTGTACAGTTGCATGGCGAAGGTACCGGGCCCGTGATCACATCTGTATCTATCGGTGAATTATATCTCCTCTCCTCCTCTTCACACGACGAGGGATTGGCTTTAACCTCTGGGTTGCTGAAGCAGAAAGTCAGTGTATGAAGGATTTCACATGTTAATATCAGTCTTGTCTTTGGATTCACCTCCGCTCAGTCTTCGCTGCCTTGTTTTTCAATTAGCTGCCATCTCAGACATCCCTATTGACATCAATCTTTATACCTCGGAGATTCTTCCCCTGTCTCGCTTTTCCGAGATCCAGCATTCCAGCCAAGTCTGACTAATCTTTATTCCGAATCTATACTCCTTCCCCGGGCTGGTCGTCTTCCGCGCTGCTGCTGGTCTCGCTGGCGGTTTTCGGGGTGCGATTGCACCACACACGAGGATCACACTCATCGGGTTGGTGTAACTTTACAATAACCTTGTCCCAGGGCCGCCGAGCCTGCTGATTTTCAGGGTTCTTCTCCTGCTAGCTGTCATTTTGCTGTTGTCATCTGTTGTCAGGAAGTGCGTGTCGGGACCGCTGACGTTGTAGGGTGATTGTGTGTTTTTATATTTGCATCTTTATTCTATTTTATGATTACATTGCGGTCTCTCTTGTCCTGGGTTTAGCTAGCGCATGAGGTGATATAAAAGGATTCCAACGGGATGCAATGTGTCCATTTTAATCTTTGCAATGTCCCGACTTTGTATGTAGCAGATGATTGTGGTTTTTATTTAATTGGTATTGCCTATAACAAGCAAAGTTCTCCGTTCACTGATGGAGTAGTGAAGGGTTAGAACCTCTGCTGTGCTTACTTGTGTCCCCAGAGGGAATATTTACAGGTGAAAAAGTGATTTATTTATTTTTAGTTGTCTCCAGAACAGGAAGAGGCAAAATCTTCCGCTGGGGGACACCTCTTTCTCTTTTCTTGCATTTCGGTTTACTTCCTGTTGCATCTACAGGACAGGAAGTGAACGCAGCTCTCCCCCTTAGGACATGGATAAAGCACACCTGGGCTTTAAAGAAGATCTCCGGGCACAAATTTGATTAACTCTTGCAGTGGGCTAGGGTTAACAAAATGTGCGTATGTGTCTGGCACCCCACACACACTGCAACGGTTAACTGTTTGTTTATGTCCAGGTTAAAGCAGGAATCCAGGGAAAATTATTAACCCTTGCTGTGGGTCTACCTTCCCGCACTGCAAGGGTTAACTGTTCGTTTTGGTTTTAGGGAGGAATTTAATAAAGATGTACTTACCCGATCATCGGAGTTGGCTGGCTATCACAGCGCTTCCTCCTGCCAGTCTCCTCCGCTCTAGTGATGGCATGTCTCTGTGTTTTCACGTCCTATACACTGTATATTGGACGTGGTGATTTCGAGGGGTCCTTAGACCACTACAGCAGAAGGGGAGAGAGGCTCCAGGGACCGGTCTGAGAGCGAGCAGGCTCAGAGGATCAGGTGAGGTATTTCTTTTGTTTTCCTCCTTTGACCAAAACGCGTACTTAACCCCTGCAATGTAGAGGTAGCCTCACTGCCAAGGGTTAATCATTTTGCCTGGAATTGTCCTTGAAGAAAAAAAAAAAAAGTTATACTCACCGGAGATGTAGAGAAAAGACCACCTGCATGTCCTTGGCGTCGGGCGATCGGAATCCCGCACCCCTGGTCCTCTGAACTCTGCTGATTTGGAATGTCAGAGTTCGAGTTGGCCGATTCCTCCCTTTCAGCAAAGATGACTTGGCCATAAGCCTAGGGTGACAGGCAGGGAGCTCGCTCTGAGGGGAACCCTCTGCCATTGTCATCATATCCTCACTTTGATTTGCATGACCCAGAATGAGGGGGCAGCTTGTGAGGTCAGAGGAGAGTCAGAACTCCCGACTATGGGGAAAAGCCCTGACCCCATAGTTCTCCTTTAAGGATGTTTGTCTTTGTAGCTTTATGTATAAGATGCGTTGTGATTTATTTTCCACTGAGAAGGGAACAATACTTTATTTGTAGAGATGACATCATAAAATATTGGGTGAATTTTTGGGCAATGTATCAATAATAATCTTGTTTCTTTGTGTCTTTACCAGATCTAACCTCTTGGAGACACCAGCAGAGAGCCCCCAACCTCTTGGATCAGGCACCTAGGCCCGTTCTCTACCGGGATGGTACCCAGCGGCGGCTGGCATCATCTATGAACCTTCTGCTATGCGTCCATCTGCAGACGGCAGTGTTCTGAGGTCAGGTGACAATTGACTGTTTCGTTGATTATACCACATTTTTGTAATCTCCCAAACTCGCCTAAAATTTCAGTTTGAGTTGGCAGAACTCTGCACAAAATTCAGCAAATCACATCTACAATGTCTGTTTACTTGTATATGTTGTTTTTGTTAAGCACGATCACATTGTTTGGCACTTTATAGTATCCTAGGATCATATATATATAGTATATAAGTTATAACCATATATAACCTAAAGTGAAACTTTCCTATTGGAGATTTCTTCCGTTTTCCAGGTCATTGTATATCTGTAAAAAAAAAATCAGTCAAGACAGCTGGACTTGCTGTATTTTTATTGAAGACGTTTCACTGGTCATCCGACCAGCTTTCTCCATTCAGAATGCCTTGTACAAAAAATTATCTGGGAATAAATATAGGGAATGTTGTTCCAATCCACATAATCTGTAAATCACAACCAGGTGTTGATTGCATTTGCATAATTGGAGTCTAGGAGGTGTTGATAACCTGCCCAGAGGGAGGTGTTAAAACAACATTGTATGTATATTCTTCCATTTACTTCCTGTCCCAGAAATACAGCAGGAAGTGAGAAGAAATCCCTTTTTTGACATTTGTTCCCAAAACTGATCTTACCATTGGTTGATTTTCTCCCTCTTACTGTTGTGGTGACAACTGTAGGAATTTGAAGTTTACACTTTTTCCTCGTGTGATCCCATTCATGAAAACAGAATGTATAAATCAGACGTCCATTCTAGTCACATGTTCAGTCCAGATAACATCAGCAAACCAGTGATCAATAACCCGACTACGGAAGAAAGAAGATGAGACCCTTCAGCATGTGATGGTGGACAATAGCTAACACGTTTCGGGGGTAATCCCCCCCTTCTTCAGGGCTTACTGTTAGTTTTACGGGGGGTTTTTTGTCTCTGGAGCAATGGTCACCTGGACAGATAGAGAGGGCGAGTCTCCCCAATGTTGCTGGGATATTCTCCCCCTGGAAACGAATGAAGTGAATACTTCCCCCCTCTCTTGCTGCCTGTGATGTGAAGAAGAAATGTTCCTCCTGATTTTTTGTCTTCTGGGAGTGTTGATCTGCCGCGTCCTCCCGCAGACCTACTGTGATCTGTAGTGATGTAAGGGGTCAGCCGGAAGAACCACTGCGTGCTCCAGGGAACACAGCAGATTGAGACTCTCACAAGTGGCAGTGACCACTATATAAACATTCGCCAACAGATACTGTACATTGCAAACATTACACAAAGGCATATACATATGAATGCTAATACACTCAAAACTGCTAACCTCCATGTAACGCAATCTCCAAGAAACAAGCGGCAGTCCGCGACAACATGGCAACCCGCCATTATAAACCCATGGCTGCTGGGCTCTCATCTTTTCCAGCGTCGGGTCTCCCTCTGACTTCCCCTCAGCGTCTGTGGGTGGGCACTGTGCACAGTACGGTGCTGACATTGTAGCTTTCTGTGGAAGTGATTGGCAGAAGGGGAGGGTTTGTTTACATTTTGTGTTTTACATTTGTAATTGCTGTGATTGGCTCATAATGATCACAAGGCACAGAGACACTGTGATAGGGTCTGTTAATTTTTCCTAAAACACCTTAGAGCGGGGGTGGGCAAACTCCCGCCCTCCAGCTGTTGTTGAACTACGAATCCCATGAGGCATTGCAAGATTTTCACAGCTACAGGTATAACTCCGAGACACAGACGCATGATGGCATTTGTAGTTTCACCACAGCGAGAGTTTGCTCACCTCTGTGTTAGAGCCTCTCTCAGGTCTGTGTCTTTCCAGGTGGGCTTTAAACTTAAAGGAGAACTATGGGGGGGGGGGGGCTTTGGTGCTT